AGATAAATTATGACACAATTAGTAAATAAACCAACCCCTTAAATATATTAATTAAAGTTTTATAACTATTATTGATATAAAAAAATTATTTAGAGGAATTATTCTTCACCTCAAAAGAAATTCACTTATGAAGTAATCCTATTAGTAAATTAATATTACATGATACATAAAATTAAAAATTTATTCTTGGGTTAATTCAAAAGTACAATTAGAAATTTAAGACCTAATTGGAACTGCTATACTAGAAATGCAACTAGCCATTATAATATTATAATGTCTATGATTTTATAAAGTAAAAATTAAAATATTAATTTAAGTGTTTTTCAGTTTAGTTATCGAAGATATTAATATAACATTATTGTTGTTACACATAACAAAAAAAAAACTATTTATTAACGATGTTTTGTTGGATTAGCCTTTGTTAGTATAATTTTTTTAATAAAAATTAAATTATTATTATAAATTTTTTGAATATTTACTAATAATATAATATTATAGTAATAAACAATTTCGTTAGAATATAATATTAATATAGTACATTATTTCTTAATATAGACATTCAAAATCTTTAACTTTCATTTATACGGTTAGTTTAATACTTTATTTAAATCAATAAGTGCAAACAACATAAATACAAGTTTAAATTGTTGTAAGCATATTAAAATATTATTTACTCACAAATATTAGAAGCCAAACATCGTCATTGCTTATAAGTGATTTCTTTAATTAGTGGACCATTTTCATGAGTAGGATGATATATGAAGATGTGACTTGTGAAGACGACAACGAAAAAGAAGTAAATAATCATTGAGGGATACTTTTCTGCTTCTTGAAAGGGTTGGCCATTGTTGAAAAAGAAAGGAAAATTAGAGGAGAAATTAAAGTAACTATATTTGGAAAAGTTTAAGGGTTGAAAAGGATTAGAAACCAAAAATTAAAAAAGAAATAAAATGAAAAGGTGGGTAATGGTTGGAGCTAAAAAAGTAATATATGAATGGAAAATTTTATTTATAAATCTTGAAAATTTAAGGGTCTTTTTATATGAAATTGAAAGTTTATAGCGTCTATTTCAAAATGAAGTAAAATTTAGCAAGTATTAATATTATTTTATTTTCCTAATATTATTGAACCAAATGAATGGATTGGGAAAAGGAAGGAAAGAAACATAACAATCCATGTTTCTCTTTGTTTGGAATATTAATAAGAAAATGAAACTTCATTATCTTATTTTAGAGTTAAATCATAATTAAGGATACATACTTAAATATAAAAAAGAATTTAAGCGAAATGCATTGAAAGTATAACAAAATTATACTCTCATTTAACCATAAATTATCATATTTATAAAAATAAATAATTTAAAACTTATACCTACTGTATATTTTAATTAATTAATTATATAATATTTTATATTGACAATATATCATAGCCAAATTCATAAAAAAATATTTAATTAATTTTTAACTTTTAGATCTAATTCCCTATTTCATTCAATTTTGAAGAAAAGAAAATTTTGATCTTTGAGAACAGAGGAAGAATAGTTCTCTTTTTTTTTTCCCTGTACAATTTGATTTAAGGTCTCAAACAAATGAGATTATTTTCCTTCTACTTATCCATTCTCCAAAGAAAATATAAAAAATAATAAGGGGATTTTCAGTTTTCCCATCTTTTATTTTCTACCCATATAACTTCCAAACAAAAGGGAGAAGGCTTGTGCTTTTTTTCTTGTTCTTTGTATTCCAACCATGGTCTTTCCCTCTTCATTTCACCATTAAAAAAAGTTTCTTAAGGTGTGTATTATATAGTTAAGTGGTTATTTGAGAAAGGAAATTTGGAAGAAGGGAAAGAGAGGATAAATTTTATATTTTAAATAAATATATTTAAAATTAATATTTATTTAAAATAAAAGATATAAATTGATATATTAACATAAACTTTATGTATTAATTATACATTTATCATCATAAGTGATATATAATAATTTTAATTTAAAATTAAATATGTCTCTTTTTTTTTCTCCAAAATTTCTCTCTCAAACATAATTAAAATGTCATGTGAAAAAACTAGTAAAGTAGTCACTAAGAGCAAATTACTCATTTATGAGAACATATTATCTTTGTATTCTTATTGTTTTTATCTTATATATATTTAGTTTTGATTTTACTTTCAACTAGTTACCTTGCAGAAGCTCAATTGGTGAGCCAATTATTCTTCATAAAATGGATCCTTCAACAGCAACGGTAATTTTATGCTAATTTTTAATATCTTTGTACTCTCAAGAGCTCTTACTATTGAAATTTAAGATAGAAGACAAGTTTCTTTAAGCTGTAGTTTAACTAAAGAGAGCAAGATTCTATTTGGATAACTTTTATTTATAAGAAAAAAAATAGTATAAAAAATGAATAACTTTTTTATATAAGTTAGAAATAATTTATATTTTTATATATATTTTTTAGAAATAATCTCATTTTACTTCTCTAAATAAATTTTATTTATTTTTTATATTAATATTTTTCTATAAGAACTTCTCTAAAAATTTATTCAAATTAGGCTTGTATCGATTCTAAATTATGCTGAAGCAATTAGACATTGATTATATCTTGATATCAATTTAACTATTGTTTTTTTTTTTTATTGATCCATCAAGTTGAGAGAGAACTGCAAGATATCATTTAGTTATGTTTAGAAATGACATTTTGAAGAGAAAAAAGGACAATTTTTCCAAATTAAAAAAAAAATATAATATTTATAGAAGAAAATAAAAGATTAATACATTAAGTCTACGAAGGATGTCAATGTAATTATAATTGCTTGCATAAATCATTTAAAACATTTATGCTCAAATGTCACAACTTCAGATTTAATAAGAACAAATAGCAAATTATCCTTTACCCATATACTTCTGAATTTACTCTTCACACTATCTTCATATCACCAAACTCCCAGAGTTTTGAAGTGAAAAACGTGAATTTCTTTATCTTTGCTTAATTTAGCAAGTTACAGAAGAAAACTTTCGAAAAAAATCATTATTTTTCTAAAATTATCATTACCTAATCACGTTCTCAGGCTCAAGTTTCCTATCCTAATATCTTTTTGGTAGCATTTAATTTGGGTTGAGTCTTAACCATTCAACTTGATTAATTAAACATTGATAGTACATTTTAGGGATCAATTAAAAGCTCTGACATGTTTGAAGGATGACTCATACTCAACCAAGTAATTACTCAACTCCTTCACAATTCATGACAAAGACATGACAGTGAAATATCTGGGCACATTATTTTTTGTGCCATTAGATGCATACCACATTAGCTATGTTTCTTTGTTACTGGTTATCATCACAATCTTCCACTTTAATTGCATGGTTAGTGATAATTAATGTGATCCAGTTAATTGTACGAACAAGAGAAAATCTTACTCGAAAAACAAATAACAATCTCTCTTTCCTAATTGTTTACCTCACATTGAATGAATCACGTGCATGCCAAGAGTCTTGCTTACTTTATATTAATGCACTGTAATAATGTTTTGTTTACGACTACCCCTTGTGACAAAAATTTGATATTGTCCATATTTCGTTAATGTCTATTCTATATATCTGTTTCAAAATCAATGTGAATGTTATAATGAAAGTTTATGACTTCTGTTTACAGCAGAAATGTATATTTTTACTAAATTTTTGTATAACATAGCTTTCATAAGATTTTTTACTTTTTGACAGTTCCAATTCTATAATTTATCAATTATGCATGTCAGGATTTACTTGTACATTTTAACGACTGTAAAAATATTATTAATGTATTAGATATTGGGATATTTTATTATTTTTAATAAAAATTATATATATATATATATATATATATTCTTAAATAAAAATTAAGAAAATTGTAAAATTTATTAAAAAATATAAAATTAAAATTAATATAACTCAATAAACAAAAGTGATATTTTTTTTTAATAAATTTCAATAGTAAAAATGTGTTTAGAAGAATATGTTAAACTGTATATTTTACATTTCTAATTTTGAATTAAAAAAATAAGTTACTAAGATAAACTTATATGATATATCACCAAGTAATGAGGATGAGATAATTTACTCGTAATTTCTTATTCTAATTACCAAAGAGCCTTAACTTGTAAAAGTTGAAGAGACTAGATAATCCTTTGATATGTTATATTTTATGACCTGGGTTGGTGACAGTTTGATATTCAAGTAATCAAATCTAGCACAATTTTAGATTAAATATAATTCCCTCTCCATTGGGTGCGTTCCTTTGAAAACCTACCAATCAAAGTTAACAAATTTTGAAGTCAAAGTCTAATCCCCCTTTGCTTGTTAAGAGAACAAAATGATACAGGTCACTACCCTAATTTCCCAGCAAAATTGAGTGGATGCACGACTACAACCCTAAAGCTAAAGCCTCTTTTGGTCATACACTTCTCTAAACTGCTAACCCATTAGGCCAATTTTCGAAAACAGAAGAGCTCATTTTCTTGTTGAAGTTATCATCTCTAAGCTGGCCTCAAATATCTATATGATTTTGCTCGAAACTTATTCAAACTTTTGACTGCACTTTTCTCTTTGACTTCAAATCAAATGATGTAACATTTTTCAAGTTTCCCATTGCTTTTGATTATTCCAATATCTGATTATCATTATTTCAGGTGGAAACAACACATATAATCCATTATCTGAAATAAAGTACCCTTTTGATTCTCATAAAAAAAAAATTACTTACTGTTTTAACACGAGATTTAGTTACTTCAGAATGCATACATTTCTGCATCAAAATTGTCATAAAGCGAATACATATTGATGAATCTTGAACCACGATTGCAACTGAAGAAAACTTTTATGTAGCATATAAAAAGCTTAAGACTGAAACTGTTTACCACTATCATTTTCTTAAGATGGATTCTTAGACTTGACTAAGAAATATTAAAACTTTTATAGAATTTTCAATGTGCAAGATGACTATATCTCCAATCAAGCACACCCTTCAACACTTTTACAATTTCACAGCCCAACTAACACATCTCCAATCAAACCCTTCCAGTCTAACAAAGAAAATTCAAACCAATAACATAGTAATCAAGCCTACTCCAAATTGACTTATCAACTCAAAAAAGGGATAAATCAAAATATTTAGTAAAAGATAATAATAATAATAATAATAATAATAATAATAATACGTGAATTAATATATTATCATGTAGATTTCAAACATTTTTTGTCATGAACTAGCAGAATCATCATTTTCTTCATTATCAAGAACATCAAAGAAGGGGTCTTTGAGCAACTCAGCAGCAGAAGGTCTAGCCCTTGGCTGCGCAAGGCACCTCTCAATGAAGGCCTTCACCTCAAAATCTTTAATCTTGTTCAATGCCTGTGGTCTAACACCTGATGACACTTTTTTGTATATCTTGGCAACATTGTCACACTCACTATAAGGAATCTCAAGTGTCACCATCTCCAACACACACATTCCAAATGAGTATATGTCCACCATTTCTGTGTAGTCCTCATCATATAACTCAGGTGCCATAAATTCAGGCGTCCCAAGAATTGAATGAGCAGAGTGACTCTTGCCCACAATTGCTGCCAAACCCAAGTCACCAATCTTAACCTGATACACATGAAAACAAAAAGAAATTAATGACATCTTGTAATAAACAGCAACAAAAAAATTGTAGCTTGATGATTATATCTTAATGCATATCAAATGTAATAACAAAAATTGATAAATCATAAGGATTAACAATGTAAAAAAACACGTGACTCAAGGAAAATTTACATTTGAAAAATTTTCAAAAAAATGTTACCTGGCCAGTATTCCCATTTACAAACACATTGCTGCAATTGAGATCTCTGTGGATGATACAAGGATCATGCAAATGCAAATAATTCAACCCTTCCAAAATCTGCTTAGACCACTTCTTCAAAGCCTTCATGGAAACATGCCTATGCTTCTTCCTATATTCCCTCAAATTCCCACTTGTGCAGACCTCAGTGATGAAATTCAAAGTGTTATGCTTCTCATCCCTCCAAACACTGTAAAGGGAAATGATGTTTTTGTCGGTTAAGCTTCTGAGCAATCTCACTTCTGAGTAAAGCCTATCCACCATGGCAGGATCATCACTGAAGTTCCTTAGTTTCACTTGGTTCCAAGCTACCTCTATTCCTTCTTCTTGATCGAATGCTCTGTAAACTTTTTTCACAGCACCAGATCCCAACAGTTCACTGTATCTGCCATATCTTCCAGTTGGATCAATCTCAACAAATGGTTCTGAATCTTTGTCTGATGGATCAGGCTTAATACTCGGCATCTAGCACCAAAACATGGATCAGAACATCAAAATCAAATCAAATTAGAGTGTGAAAAATAAAAATTGAAACTTTTTCTGGAAATTTTTGCTTTTCTAGATCTGATCTTGAGATTACAAAATCAGTATGTTACTTAAGTTTTTGAGAGAAAAAGGAACCAACCCATCATCAAAATTCATTAAAGTTATTTTTTTACACAAGTTAAATAATAATTAATAAAAAAAAGTAAAATAAAATCTGTCATACTTGCATGCATGAAATTCAGATCAAAATCCAAGAGGCAAATTGAAAGGCAAAAATAATTCAAATTTTATGGCTACTGGGATAACTTAACACATTCATCCGAATCACAATGCAGAATAGAGCAAAATAATAATGATCATTACCATGAGGAAAACCAATTGCTTTTTGAAGAAAAGAGAAGCTGAAGAAGCACCAATATGAAAATAAAGTAGAATGAGACACAAAAACAAGAAAGTAGGAGCAATTTGAGGTAACTATATATACAGAAATCAAGGAGTGTACGTCAGTTAAAAGTGCTGTTTAATTCGGATTAGATAATATTTCTGAACGGTCTTCCAGAATCTTTTTCTAATCGGTAACCCAAAGAAAAAAAGAAAAAGAATATATATATATAAGTCAACTTTTCAGTATCCCTTCAATCTGCTATAGTAAGCACCTCAAATAAATAATTTATAACTTCCCATTAGAGTTTTCTTTTTGGGTTACACAGCTATTTTTGTAATTTAACTTTTACCCAGCATTGTTAAAAATTTATGAAAAATAAAATACTCAGGTCACTACTTTATCTGTTGATTGAAGTTGGGCTGATAGAACTTTATTAGAATTTATGTATTTAATCAATAAAATTAAACTAAACATTATTTAAAAAAAAAATCTCTCCTTTCGAAAAAATATATACTTTTTAGGCTTATTTCTTTGTTTCAAATTTATTGCCATTTTAAGAATTCGAGACTTGGTTATAATTGTATAGATAATTAATTTCAAATTATCTCAATTAACTAAATAAAATAATAGAATAAATAAGAGTGCTTGAAACTAGCATATACTAGTGTTGTTTAAGAAATAATTTGGGAAAACTAAAACAAATATGCTTCACGAAAAGTTTATCTTAAATAAACGTTAATCAGTATTATGTCCCCACCTTATAAAGAAAGATATTGATAAAAAGTTAATATACTTTTGTAATGTAAGTTTAAACAACATGTAATAAAAATTTATACATAATAATTTATATTTAAAATAATAAAATATTATAGAATCCAACGCATTAATAATAGTGAATGCTATAATCAATGATATAAATTTATTTTTTTTATTCTTTAACCTGTGTCCTTAAATACACATTAAAAAATTAATTTTTATTAAAATGTAATAATACACTCTTAATTAATTTTAATATATTTCTACTTTAATTTTTAATAAAAATGAATTTTTTATTTATTATTTTCTAAATTAATATCGTTAACAAACCTGTTGTAAAAAAAATTTAACAAAACCCGATTTTATACTATTGTAACAAAAATATTCATTTGAAGCGAAACTAATGCCAGAAAAAATTGTGTTTAACATCTTAGCATTAGTCTTTTTTTGTACGGATTATCTACCATTTATGTTTCACAATATATATTAGAAAATAATAAATAAATTTTTTTTATTAACATTTATAACTTTTAATGTTATTAGTATATTAAATTTTATAATATTTTATAATTTCTAATAAAAATTTAATATATAAATTATTATTATGTGTCTTTAAATATACATTAGATTAAAAAAGAAAACATTATAGTAGGTAAAAAAAAAAACAGATTCTTTCTGTTTTTTCGTCTTGAAAAGTCAACATATTGTTTATGGCGCTAGTTTGACTATTATAGTTCTTCCTCTGTTTCCATGGTCACCTGAGCCAATGGGGAAGAAGCACCTGTTCCCTCAAAGTGTTTGCCTTTTAAGAAGCTGTTGAAAAATAAAAAGAAAAGGGATATGAATCTCTTTACAATGCAGTTTTAATTCTTGTTTAAGAAACAAAAATTAATTAATTTATATTATTTGTATATATTAAATTTTAAATCAATCTTAATGAAAATCTAATGAAAAATATCCATTTAATCAAGTTATTTTCTTTTACATTTTGTCACATGGATATTTAGAGTTAAAATTTATTAAAAATAATATGTAAATTAATTTTCTCTCAACTGAAATAATTTTTTGATAATTTTAATTAAAATTTTAATTATTATTTAATTTTTTATTATTTTATATAATTTTTTTTATAAATACTTATATATAATTATTTTAAATAAAATACGTGTAATGTCATCTTTAAAAGAGTTCTTACTCTTTTAAGGGGAGATTAAAGAGATTGAAGGTAAGAGGAAGAGAAGGATCAAAGAAAAAACTAATTAATGCATTTTTAAGGGTATATGATCATTTAAATTTCTTTTGTAGCATGAAACTTGGTGTTCAGATTGAAAATTTTTGAATATTAATAAAAAAATAATAAACATGCAGCTGTGAATTTTCTTAAATTATTAAAAATTATGTAAAAAATATAACATATAAAGATCCCCACATAAATCAATCACTTAGATGAGATAGATTTTTAAAACTCTATATTCAGAGAGTTGAGCAACAGATAACAAAGATGCAAAAAAGAAAACGTTACATCATTGAAAAGTGATACCATTTTATTAGAGTAGTGAGTCATAGTTGAAAAATAGTTAATATAGTGTAATTCCATGAATCTTGCAACAAACATGTGTAGCATTAACTGGCAAAAGATATGAATCCTTAATAGCTTGTAGAGTGGTCTTCTCTCGTGATCATAGGCTTAGCTTTTGCTCTTTGATGGAATTATGAGTACCCGAAAGAACATGTGATCATATGAACAAGTTGGCTTTTGCAATTACTAAGCATATTAATGTCTTAGGTCACGAAAAATATGGGGAGCATGTGAACCATGGTACAATGTTGCTGATTTGATGAAACATATGTAGTTGTTGTTGTTATTGGTTATAAGAAATATCTCAACAAATTAAAATTGTGCTCTGTTCATGTGAAGATGAGGTCACATGTTTATGTGAGAATAATGTGATTATGTGTCTTTTCTTTGAATTGTTGAAGAGCTTATGATCACATAGCACTTCCATAACATGTTGCAAGTAAGTAAGAATCGAATCTAAAATCATTGTTTTTTCAATATTGCTTGAACTTGCAAATTGAGTTAACTAAGCTTAACTCTTTTATCACTACTTTTCTTTTGTAAACGTGTGTTTGAAGAATTTGACTCTTAAAATTATGAATTTTTTTTTATTGATTTAAAGTTGATTAAGTTTATGAAAATCAAGATGTGCATATTTTTATTTTTTTATTTTATATTGTGAATACCTAATTTTTTTTTGGTATTCCTTCTTTTATACTTTTCAAATCAATAATAAAAGTGTAGAAGTTCTAAAACAAAGGAAAAACTAAAATAAAAAAAGGAAGGAAATAAAAGAATCATAAAGTATATAAAGTAAAAAAATTAAAAATAAAAAAAATGTGAAAATTTAAAAGAAAAACTCACATTTTCAGAACTCACTTTCTTAAAAAAAAAAAAAAAAACTATTTTCAAGCTAGAGAAATTGAAAGAGAGAACAATGGAGTCAAAAGTTTAGAAAGCCAAGAAAGAAAATGTTACTAACTATTTTTTCTTTTACTTTTCAGATTTTTATTTTTATTTTTATGAGCTTATATATTTTATGTTTTTTATCCCCTTCTTTTTATTATTATTTTAATTCTTTATTTTAGAAACATAAAAAATATGATGAGCCAAATAAAAATAGGTATTCACATACATATTTATTCAATTTAAACGTGTCAAATTCAACTTTCAATTTATATTAAACTCCAATTGTTTAAGGCAATGTGCATTGATTAGAATCATTTTGCCCAATAAATTAAAGGTGTTTGGATAATTTATGTGGTTTCCAAACTTCATTTTAAGGCGAATAGAATTGTCAGAATGTGAGACTTAAAAATTATTTCTTATTTACACTTTAAAAGTAACTTTACTAACTAACTAAAATCAAATTTACTTAACTCTACCAAATGCAAATAAAGAAAAACAAAAGGAAAAAAAAATCAAAACACAAAATTTCCAAATTTAATCGTTTCAAAATAATGCTTCTAAAATTAATTTTACAAAAATCTAAAATAAATCAACCTTTATTATCCATTATATAAGCTGAACAAGTATAAATTATCTTCTTTTTAAGTTGAATAAACCGATGTGTCTATTTGATTATACTTTTTCTCAACAAAATATATGTAATAAGACAAAATCAATAATTGAGATCTTTTAAGGCATAATCACTTCCCACCCATCTTCAATGGGAGCCAAAAACTCTTGCTTCCACATGAATTATGTTGAGGAAGACAGTGTCATGTGTGCTTTATAACAAAATACATTAATTTAAAATAAATTAATGTTTCTTGTTAATATTTTTTTTTATTTTTAATAAATTTTAACTAATAATAAAAACTGTGTTGCTAGCATTCTTCTATTTACATATAAAAATAGAATGAAGACTTATTTTATAATGACTCTAATATCTGTCTAATAAAAATAACTAACACTATAAAATAAAAATAATATATTAATAGTTAAATATTTACTTTACCTTTATTAGTTATTTTTTTGTTTATTTAACAAGCGAATATTACTTTATCTATTATATATTTTTTAACACATTCTAAATTATAATGTAAAATTTATTAAAAATTATAAAAATATAAAAAGTATTAACTTAAGAGTAAGAATCATTAATTTTAAAATATAATCGACATAATTATGAGTAATTAACGTGAAGAGGAAAATTGTTAGTGTTGTGGTGTGTTGCACCATTTCTCCACTAAAAAGCGTTTTTGAATGCAATCGGTAATGTTTAAGACAGTCGCCGGACGCCGAGTCTTGGGAGATTCCATTACCGCCAGCATGAAACGGCGTCGTCTTCTTCCACTTTGCTAGGGTTTGCAGAATGCACCAATCACGCGATTAGTCTTCAACTTCTCCTCTCGAATTCGATTCTCTAATCCCTTACAATGGCTACACTGAAGACTATCTCAGCGGCACTGAACCTCATCGACGCGAAGAAAGAGAATCTGAAGAAAGCCTTCGAAGATCTTCAATCTCACTCTTCCCTTCTCTCTCCTCTCTCTCTCTCATGGCCCGACCTTGATTCACACTTCACCTCGCTCCACCAATCCCTCAACCACCGCTTCAACCTTCTCCAATCCCTCGAACAATCACATTCACAATCCCAAACTAAAATCCTAACCTTAACCCCAATTCCCGACCCAGCAGACCAAACCCCCAAAGAGGCGAGCTTTTCAGCGAACCCTAACGCCCCATCATCGAACCGGAACGATGGTTCATCTGGGGTGTTCCCCAAAAACTACGTCGTTCCGGGCTCGGTTGTGCCTAGGTGTGAGTTAAGCGTTCTGTGCGAGAAAATGGATGGTGTGGGGTTGAGGAATTACGTTGATAACCATTTTAAGGATAGGATTAGGGTTCAGGCGGAGCTTTCCGGTGCGCTTCGGTGTGCGCCAGACCCCGGTGAGATGGTTCTAGAAGCGTTGGAAGGGTTTCATGGGGAGGGTAACGGGTTGAATGATGGGGAATTGAGGAAGATGAGGAAGAGTTGCATTATCTTGTTGAAGCAATTCAGGGTTGCAGCTTTGAGTGTAAGTGCTAAGGCCAGCGTGAAAGCCTTGAATTTGGCTATGGCGTGGAAAGAGAAGTTAATGTCTGATGATGGCAATGTGTTGGTGGCGTTGGGGTTTTTCCATTTGGTTTCTGCCTTTGGTTTGGTTTCCGAATTCAGCTTGGATGAGTTTGTTGCCTTTTCAGTAGCTGCTGCCGTTAATGAGGAGTTCCCGGAGCTGTGCCGGACCCTTGGATTGACGGATAGAGTTCCTGGTAAGGATGTTGGTTTAAGAACTGATGTTGTTTGGCCTTTTAATTGTTTGGAGGATGATGCTATTTTTGTGTTGTTGGAGTTTGGCATTTTAAAGTATTTGTGCTTAAGGATGTAGTTTGAAAGGAAATGATTATAGGACATGAGTTTTGTGCAGTTATTCTTACTTAGGGTTGTTGATGAATGAGAGAAAGAAAGAGTGAAAAGGAAAGAAATGAATGGTAATGAAATGAGAGTTATGTACTTGCATTGTATGCTCAGGGAACACGTCTCATTGAAATAGGGCTCTTTTTTAAACTTTGTTTCTGTTTTGAAGATTCTACAGAAGGAATGATGAAAACAGGAAACGACATGTTAATAGAAAAATGGTGAAAACAACGTAACATTTTTTGTAAATATTAGTTAAAACATAACAATATAACAAATGAAAATGAAAAATAATCACCCTAAAGATACTAATTTTAAGCAAAATGGAGTTTGTAAAGGAGCTTCTTATTTTGGAAGAGCTAGTGAAATTCCAGTTGGAAAAACTCAATATTGTTTGTTTGCACATACAGAATTATTCACATGCCTTACATATACTGTGGTGGAGAAACTTTGTTGACTTACTATCTAGTGTTGTCTTGCCAACAAAATTTCTACACCTCAACATATCTTAGGTAAGTGTAGCTAACAGCTTTGAAAGCAACACAAATTTTACATGTATAAGTGTAGTTTCACGTTATGACAAAAAAATTTAAAAGCTGTGACAACCCTTTTTATCACACCTTCTCAACCCTCCTTCCTATTGATTATTCAGATTGTTTCTTCCAAATTTCACTATGGATCAATGATTTTCCGTATAAACATCCTCCTATCAATTCAAGTTTTGTCATCTTTAGTAATCCCTTAAATGCAATCTTGTGGCTTGTGTGACTGTAGCAAATCATAGCATATTGCTACTAACGGTTTAAATCATTTAATGTGTATCCTTCTCACTGAAAGTTTCGTGAAACAAACCACTGATGCAGTTAGAAATTTTTTTATAGTTGATGCAATTGGATCATGTTTTTGTAGATGAGATAGGCCCATTTATACTATTGGCATGGAAATGAAATTCAGCTACAAATACAACCTTAGTACCTCCCTTAATTACTCACAACTTATTGGATTCTTCCACTGCCATTGACAGTTTGCTGTGTTAGCAAGATTTATTGTTGATCAGGGGAAAGTTTTCCTTGATTCTCTCATTGCTGATGAAAACAGTTGCATATGTATATGTATAATGAACTGGAAGAGAGTGAGAATGCACAATTAAGCATAACTAAAGGGGTAAAGTTTTCCCTAGTGTTTATCTCTAAATGTAAGTTATAATCTTTTTGTATTCATTAAATTTGTTTGCTTCTAAGCTAAAAAAAGTTGTTTCCAAATTGAGTGGGTTTTTGTTCATTTAGAGGGTGTTAACTTGCTTGGTGGCTAGCATAGTGGCAGAGTCTCACAAGTCACATCACATGCATGCACAATTGTGTGCACGTGGGCACACTTACACACAAGAAGGGGGAATAGGGGTGCAGGTAAAAGAAACAAAAATGAATTTTAATTAATTTTATGATGACATGACAGTTTTGCGTTTCTGTAATTGTATATAAACAGTAACACATAAATTCTTGTTTTACCCTAAGTATTTTTATTTATAAGGAAATGCTTGTTTGTGGTTTGCAGACATTGTTCAGAAACTTATAGCTCGAGGCAAACATATTCTTGCTGTCAAGTATGTTTTTGAGTTCAATCTTGCTGATAAGATTCCACCTGTTCCTATATTGAAAGCTTGTGTGGATGAATCTAAGAAACTTGCTGAACGACTTTCTGAGGAAGGAAAGTCACTGGTATGTATGTCACCTTGAATGATAACCTAATACATGCTGCACTAAACCCTATATTTATTAAGGTATTTTTGCAGATTGAGACTACATCTAGAGAAATTCATGCTCTGAAATCAGTGATTAAGATTATTGAGAATCATAAGCTTGAATCTGAATACCCACGAGTTATTCTTAAACAGCGTATAGAGCAGTTGAATAGGCAGAAGAATATGAAACGTACTGCACCATTGCCTGCTGCAAAACCTCCCCAGCATCAACAGCTCCAGCAACAACACCAGCAAAAGAGAAATATGCAGAAGCAGAAGCTGCAGCAAGGTGGGATCAAGCGTCCTCGAACATCTGTTCCAGTTGGTCCTGCAGCTGTCCTCAAAAACATCAATAATGCCAATTCAATGGTACACCACTACCAAAAACCTCTTGTCCATCCACCAGGTTTGTTTCCAGAGCATCCAAATCCATACATGAGCTCACCAGCCATGCCATTTGGCTTGGTGGCCACTACATCAACCATCCCTCCTTATACAGGTTCTTCTTCTGGGCCTTATGGTCTTGATGGTGTCCCAACGGGTCCCAGTGGCAACCCCAATCTAGGTGGTTCTCATCTAAACTCGTTAGAGCCAGACGTTCCATCTGGTTATTATGATAGACCCTCAACTTATGGTGGTATTGGTCTGCAACATTATTACCAAGCTTCTTATTATCCTCAATAGATCAATATATCCCTTCTCTTGTCAGTATTGAATCGGAGTGTTGGTATTGGTCTGCAACATTTCACCCTGAAATAGCCCTTGACTGTTTGCTTATCAAAAGCATAGTTTGCTACTTGGCCTCATTGACCATTGAGTTTAGGACAGGAAATAGATTCAGTAATCAAGAATTGTGAGGGATTGTTTGGTTTCACAATTTTAATTACTTGAATCGCTTTGTATATAATAAGATTACTTCTAGGTTAATCATGGTCATCAGTCTTCACATCCTCTCTGTCTATATATATCTTCCCCAATCCCCAGGCATTGTTGAAGACTTAAAGTAAGCAATGAAACTTGGGAAGGATTTGGTATCTGGTATTGAATCTTTACGTAGTTGTAGTTTCTAGTGAGAATGATGACTTATTAAACAACTCTACTTTTATTCAGGAGTATATATGTCTGACGATAACAACCAAACTGTACCCCACTAGGTGGGTCTGTTAGGTGGATCAATCATCGCTGGGTTTTATCAAATATCAAATTGTTTAGAAGCCATATATAACTGTCTTTGTTAAAGGATTCTCATAATGTGATTGTAGGTCTTATTCTACCTATTGTAACCAATTTTCTATTTGTTCCATGACTGAAAAGATTCAACAAAATTTTATATTAGCTGTTAACTATATAACACAACCCTCCTCTTTTATCTAGACTTGGGATTGGATATTTACAGTTTGATAAAACAGGCAATTTGTTTTTTGTCCCATTCTAAAAAATTGTTGTAAGACCATCATATTTAGGGGCTATTACTGTTAACCTTGTCACAAATATAAATTGGATGGAAGGACTATTTTGCCCTAAAATCTTACCTTTTAATGTGAAAGGTTTTAATCCAAAGTATTTTCCATTTGTGAAAGTCTAACTCTAACAATAGGGTTAGGGGAGTTGTATGGATAATGCTTCTCAACCCTATGCATAATGCACTATCTGAATGGGCTTGCAAAGGGGAAGATTGTTTTATTGTAATTTTTCCTTTAATTATATATTCTTCTTATCTTTTCATTTTCATTTTCATCATCAGTTATAATCTTACGAACAAGATTGATATGTAATGCAGTTCAGCTCTCAATTCTTTGTTTTTGTGTTTTGGGTATATGGCATTGTCTTGTATAAAATTCAAAGCCAATCTGTTGGATTTAATTTTTGGTTTGCGTGCATGGCCCTTTTACAGAAAAGAGGGGAAAAACCAATGCCTCAATTTGAATTTAACGTTATATACAATTTCATTAGTATTCTATTATTATATATCCTCTGTTTAACTCACAATTTTTGATGGTGAGAGTTTATGGATTATGTTTTAAACTGTGCTCCAATATCTATTCTACATGTGTACGCTTGGACTATATCTCATGCTCAATCAACAATTTAACTTCTGGCATCAAACATTAATTTTAAGGATTGCTTCTGTGTGACTAAAACTAATTCAAAGTGAACTAGTTTAAACATTTGTAGTGATAGCTGAATTGATGTTAGATGTCTTCAATGCTTGGGGTATTTGATTGGATCATGACATGTAAGCTGTTTTTTTTTATTGGGTAAAGCACGTTATGTATGCTTTGGTCTATAATTGTTGAGGTGTCATTTTTGTGAAAGCAGCCCAAATTGGTACATGTGCGGGTACCCGTTGGTCATAAATTGCTAAACCATGGTCTGCCCCCTTGATTATTAATCCATGGGAAGTGACGTGAAAATGTAGAAAAATAAATCATGGCGTCTCTGTGTATCAGTCTTGGTTTTGTATCATTTAAGCAGATGAAGCCAGGAAAAGATGAGAATTGTCGATGATATAAAATAGGAAAAATTTTCCTATCAAGGTTGATGGGAATGCTAATGATTACTTAACAAATTGAATATTTCGTGCCTATTTTGTTCTTATCAATTTTAGCACAAGTTGATATGTTAGTCCTATGCAGAAGCTATGCTCATTTGTGGAATTTCCATATTCATTTTTTCTGTGCTGCTAGTTAAGTCTTCGTCTCTAACTAGAAGTTACTAATAGCTATATTAAAGATATGGCTCACGTTTTACACTACTTAATAATGTATTGGAGAATTTGGAGCTGTTCTACCTATGAAGTGATTCTTTACCTATGAAAGAACATGTGTCTATGCTACTACTACTTGTGGTATAGATTGTGCCTCTCACCTTTTCAAAATCCTGATAAACCTTTTTATATGATGGTTCAGTAGAGTAACCTGTGAAAGACCTGGTTTACTTTATGTGTAGAAATGTTTACTCCACTTATTAAAGCGTTTTGGTGTCATTCCCAAGTGAAGTGTCTCAAGTGATTTTTGGTTAATTTTTTCCCCCCTTATACCGTATTACTAACTCCACATACTAAGGTGTATTTTGCTACCTGTTGTCGTTCTCATTCAAGTGATTTTTGACTAAAATACTGTTTTTTTTATTATAACTACATTAACAATAAGTGTATTTTATATATATTTTAAAAATAAGAGTGACAATAGACATTTTCTACTCATTATTGTGACGAATACTCAATATGTTCCACTAAAATTGGTCTACATGACTTGCCAGCTTTCATGGTTTTTGCAAGTGAGTGCTAAGAATTTCACTCAAAATAGACAATGCATCTACAAAATATTGGACGAACATACCAGCCTATAGTAATAGGAAATGAATTGCTTCACGACATCTTAAAGTCACTATGGTTTACGTGTTTTGACGTAATTAGACATTTCCTTATAATGACAACATATTATAATCAACTATGCATGTCTTAAAAAGTATTGCGGCCAAGCATGCACTCATATGGACAATCTTCCTTAACACTCATAAAATATGTTGCATTATGATAGAAGATTGACAATTATGATCTTTATCTTATGTGTTTCACTCTTTTAATAATGAACTGACATGTTTGTGGATCACATCACGTCTAAACTCATTCTTGGATAAAGGAAGAATGTTTATCCGTTTAAAATTTTATTGTGTAAGAAAGAAAAGATGGGCTGATTTATTCAACGGCAACATTATTGAGTGCTTGAAATTAAGTTTTACCCAACTGGCTGAAAATTGTTAAAGAATTATAAAAAGCATTTCAATGTTTAAATTATACTATTTTTTTATTTATATGTTATGATTATATTTAAAAGTTTACGTATAACCAAGGTTAGAAATTGGTTAACTTATTTGTTGGGGACTTATCGTTTAATTCAGGTAAGGTATAATTTAGATCAAGCCTATTTATTAAATGAGTTAAGTAAAAATAAAATAAAAGGTTATTTGATTAAAAAATGTTTTAGATTGTTCTTAAAGCCTTTTTAGAGTTAATATTTATGTACTTATTAGTCTATCTAAAAGATTTAAAGTTGTTTACTTATATTTATGTTCAGGTACATTAACCTATTTTTTTGTTTTGTTTTTAATTCATAGCTCATTAGCCTATTTAAAGATAGGTTTTCTTTACTAATTTAATAGGTTTTATTGCAAAGTAAACTTTAAAAAGAGCTTAAACCAAATAAATAAGTCAAATTTGAGCCATGAATTCAATAATTAGAGAAAATTTTATAAAACTGGGTTTAATTTAACCTATTTTAACCATATAGCTTAATGATAATGTACCTGTTATTTACTACATTTTATGTAAGTTTTTTTTTTTTAGCTCAGACTAAGTTCAATAATTTTTACTTTAGTATTTAAAGCATTCCTTTATTTAAATGAATAAAATCTAATTTAATTATATTTAATTTGACTTACAGTTTGTTCAAACTATGCAATAATTTCTAATTATATGTTTTTTTTTTCGAGTCATGTTTGCTAGCTATTCAAGTGACAACTGAATTGAGCTAAACGGAATTGCAGTATGCAATGAATCATATGGACTTAAAAATCTATAAAATGTTGAAAATTGAATTAATTTTTAATGTCAAATTTTACATCATCACCAAATAAGAAATTCTCACGTTATGATAACATCTAAAGATATTTTTAGTTGCTACAAAGTGATTTAACTTTTTTTCCCTGTAGATACAACACACACGTGATGAGAATCAAGTTATTATTGTTAAAGTTATCTTGTTTAATAGTTATTTATGACTACTAAATTTCATCAATCTAATTGAATCAAAAGCTCTTATATCAACTCTACAAAATTTTATATAAATAAAAAAAAATTGTCTTTGATCAAATAACGCACATTATAATTGTGTAACTAGCTTATTACCAATGAAATGAAAATATATGGGAAATAATGATGTCGATAATATATATTTTACAACATTAGTATTATAAAATTAAAATATATTATATTCATCATTGGTTCATGAAACAAACGACTCAAAACATTCTTTAACTCAACTTTAACTCCTATCATATATGAGCTAAAGATTCAAAGTCTTATATATATATAATGAACTAGATTTATTCAACTAGAAGATAAATTGAATTATCGATCAATAGCTATCATTTTTAGCCAAACCGTTATTAAAATGCTTTACGAAAATGATATGATATTAGTATTCTGCAGTAAAACTCTATTAGAATGATAACTTCATTTATCTTACATCCTCGATGCATAGATGCTTTTAAGACATTGTAAATTGCCGGTAATGTAAAATTAACGTAGTAAAACCCTAGTTATTAGAGAGTAAAATAGAATGTTTCATATGCAATTTGCATTGGAGGTGACACAATTCATGAGAGTGAAAAAGTAAGAAGCTACTCAAAACTTATTATCTTACCCTTTCAAATTTATTTGTAGCATGTACATGAAAAGTGACAACATTCTCATTATTTATTGTGACTAGAGAGAGGGTGAACTATTATCCAAATTTGAAAAGAGGGGTAAAAAATTGCAATAATAAAGCTTTAGTTCAATCCATTTCATCCACTTTGCAACTTCACTTCATGCGTCTCTTGTTTGTTACATTTATCCTAAAGAGTGTGCCGACGAAAATGGCTTAATTGATTTGATTTAGAGTCTAGAGAATTGAGTTCAAACACTGTAGACAATTCATAATATTAATGCATTACCCTTTGTGATTGTGAATACAGTTTAACCTATTTTGATTATTTTTAATTTCTTAATCGTTGTCAAACATTGAACAGCAAGACAAAAAACAAAAGCATATACAACAATGATGCATTAAGATCTGATTGCTTGAACTTGACTCCCCCACCAATGGTGATGAAATTACTTGAATCTAACCTTGTGTGGAACCAGTTTTGGTGTGGTCATGGCTTTCAACTTGCAGAAAGGGATTTGAAGTTCAGCATCAATCACTCAAACTTAATTTTGTGGTGAAGAGTAACACAGGGTTGGTGCATGGCACACCACTTTTCCCTTTCAAATCTTACCTAGCCTCAATCAAAAGCACAATTAAGAGAACATTTCTTTATTTCTCGATCAACGATAAAGAGAATTAGAAAGAAAAAGGAAAAATAATCATTTTGTTATGAAATCTGTGTCCATAAAATAATTCATCTACAAAATCATCCCTTTTTAAATATCTACAAGTTAAATCCACACATAACCTTTTTTCCTTGTATCAACTGATTGCAAATTGTTTATTTAAGAGTTTATGATAATATTAAATATTATTTTCTGTATTATGCATGCCTGATTTTTAAATATTTTATTCTGTTATCATAAATAAAATAATAATAATAATATTAAATTTTAATAAAAATAAAATATTTATTATATTTTTAATTTATTATACTTACAACTGGATGGATTTGGAATATAATAATGTAAGAAATGTACATGGTAAGGTAAGAAGTCTTTCATAAGATTGTGAATACATTAAATCTAAACCATATAACTATATACATGGATAATCAAAATTAAAAATTTAATAATTATCTCACGACAACGACTTAAAAATGTCATGTGCATTTTTAAAATTTAAAACGTTTAAATAAACTTATTTTTATTCTTACATTAACTAAATATCATGAGAGTGAAACATGAGAGGGAGTTTTTAGTAATATAATATTTGTGTTTTCTCCAGTAACTTTTTTTAATATATCTTTTTATCCTCTCACATACATGCTAATGTTTAGATTCATTCCCTATATTTTTGTTTTGAAAAATAATATTTTATATTTTAATTTCAATGATAAAATTGTTAAACACTCATTAATAATGTCCAAAGCCCTAAAAATGATCACGATTACCGTGGCACAAATATAAATGCAACGTAGCAATTACAGGTAGTTAGATTTTTTTATTTTAACATAAAAATATAAAGTCACCCAAATAATATTTATAACTTGCGAATTTGCAATCATTAAGTGTAAATTTTTATTTAAAAATTAATATATTAAATAAAAAATATGAATATGAGACGAATTAAATATCCATATCTCATTCAAACCTAATTAACATTTATTCTCTGTTTTCGTAAGTGCTTTTCTAGATATTTACTAAACTTGGATTCAATTATTCTCTTGAAATAGACTAAAAAATGAAAATATCGTTGGTGTTATTATTACAGTAGGATATAATTTTTAACGATTAATTAAAAATTATTCGAAAAAACTCACTTTAGTCATTTCTAAATATTTGAATATAAAAAATATTAAAAAAGACGTTAATGTGGGGAATTTTTGATAACAGTAGAAGGAAGAGGTAGCAGCACAGAGAAGGAGGAGGAGCAGAGAAAATGTTTAAAACGATGGACACGAGAGAAACACAGCAACGAAACGGAGAGTAAAAGAGAGAGTGAGAATTTGAGATCCATTCTTACAAGTCAAATGGGTATCGCTCTCTGACACACATAACCTCACATCTCAAATGACTATTTTACCCTCCTCTGTTTGCTTCCCTCTTCGTTTTCTTCTTGTTTGACTCACACTATCTTTCACACACTGTGTCTCTCTACAGTAATGGACACCGCCGAACCCCTCTCCGGTGAGCTCCGGCGAGGAGAGTCTCAATTGGAATCCGACGATCCGAATCGACCCGTACTGACGCCCAATTCTGCCGCTGCCGGAGCTCCGGTCACCGCCGGCGCGAGGTACAAGCTGATGTCGCCCGCGAAGCTTCCGATCTCGAGGTCGCCGTGCGTCACGATTCCGCCGGGGCTTAGTCCCACGTCGTTTCTGGAGTCGCCGGTGCTGCTCTCGAACATGAAGGTCAGTGAATGGCTTCTACTGTTGGGGTTCTAGGGTTTCTGTTTTTTGGGGCTTGTGGGAAGAATTAGTTTTGATCTGTTTTGTTTCTGTGAAAAATAAAAAATGAAAAACAAGGGTAAATAGATTCGTTTGTGTTTTTTTGGTTTTGGGGTGTTTTTTTTTTTTTTTTTCCTTGTAGCTGAACTTGGTCAAAGATGGAATTTTAACTGTACCCAGAATGAGTTGAAGTCTATACAGCGTGAGTGACATATAAAAAAATTGTTCTTTTCAGGATATTTTGTTTTGTTTTATTTTATTTTATTCTCTTGTTCAGCATCCAAATGAAGCATATCTGGGATGTTAACATGCTCTGGCTGGAATAATTTTTAGAGGGGTACTTTAAAATGACGTGATTTAATTGTTGATGAATTGTAGATGCTATTTGTTTCATGAAAAATTCGAATTCTTGTGTTTGCGAGTATATCTCCTTATTTAATCTAGTGGTTAAGACTAACTGTTTTATTTTTTTAATTTTAATAATTAGAGTTGGCCCATTTTTATGTTTTATCATTTTCACTTGGTTTTTGTTGGGACAGTAAGATTCTGATGCTTGCTCTTATTGAATTTTGTATTCTCTGCTTTATACACAACACGGTATTCTGTTGGAATATGAATTTCTCTGAGAATTTCTCAACATTCTCGGGTTTTTTTTTTTTTTTTTTTTTTGTTGCATCACATCAGTGTTGTTTCTACACATACTGAATCTTCCTCTAGTGTTGGTGCTTTCCCTTTTTGTTTTTAACGGTGTTGCAGGGTTTACAGCAAATCTACCCCCCACCCGTTTATATGAGTGGAACAAAAGAATAAATGCAGTGCCAGGGATTAGTGGATCCATTTTAGTTCTGTATGCTGTGACATGTGAATAATAGAAGGAATGTCAGAAAGATTGTGGGTCAAGATTTGTTTTCTTGAGAAACAACATGATTATTTATCTTGATGTTAATTGTCGTGGTGGTCCTAATTTGTGCAGAATGACATTAATGTGGGAATGGCTTTTCTGAGTTGTGTACTTAACTTCTGCATATCATAATGCACTGGGCTAGCTTGTCATATAGACTCTAGATGAACAACATGTGTTATTTTGAGGAGAAAAACTCAAACTATGCATTTGCTCAAATGTAATTGGGTCTTTCTGCATAAGTAGCTGATAAATCTGCCCATTTGTATGGGTAGCTCAGATGATTATGTATACTTTCTTTCTGTTGTTATTGCTGATTAATAGTCCATCAGTTGCCATGCAGAAACTTCCTGTTGTTTTGTCCCTCTCTTTTTTCATTTTGTTTGTGAGAACTTATTTTTTTAGCATATTAGTTTATATATTTGACTTTATGATTATTCTTTTGATTCAGCAATTGCTGACTTAGAGGGCTGTAGATTATATATTATTTTTTCTCATACCTTTCAGGTTGAACCTTCACCGACTACAGGATCCCTTCCTATGCTTCATCAAATAGCACATGGCTCTGTGACTTCTGCTGCATCTGCTACTTTTCCTGTATCTACTTCATGCTTCAATACCAATACTGTTGATGACAGAAAATCCAGTTTCTTTGAGTTTAAACCACACAGTAGATCAAATATGGTAATGAATTACTTGATGTTACTGCTAATAAAACTGATGAATATATACTTTCAACTTAGGTGGATACAAGGACTAGAATTTGATGTTTTCCTCCAATTTTATCTGATCATAACTTGTGTGCTGAGTTGACAAGATAGGATAATTAATTAAATATATTGCTGTGACTTGTCACTTTGTCATTATTATACCTGACTATATCAATCCCCAAGTATTATAATCTTTTTACTATTTTCTTAGGGTGGGGGAGGTTCATTGGGGTTTAAAGTGTTAGCTGAAAGCAGATTTGGTTGTCATGTTTCACAATTTGATTAATGTTGTTTGAAGATTACTGGTTGCATATTACTTACGCAATGCTATTCACTTATTTAAGGTTCCTGCAGACTCTGACAACCATGCAAGTGAAAAATCTATGCAAATAGATGGTCAAGGAAAAGCTCAATCTTTTGACTCATCACCATTAGTCAAAAGTGAGATAGCAGTCCCTTCAAACGAATTAAGTCTATCATCACCAGTTCAACTGGTTAGTTCAGTAGCTAGTGCTCATGTTGAAGGTGATTTGGACGAATTGAACCCTAGGAACAACATAGCATCTGGGCTTCAAGCATCACAAGTTGACAGTAGAGGCAATGGAATTTCAGTTACAGCTGAGAGAGTATCTGATGATGGATACAACTGGCGAAAATATGGACAAAAACATGTTAAAGGAAGTGAATTTCCACGCAGTTATTATAAATGTACACATCCTAATTGTGAAGTGAAGAAATTATTTGAACGCTCTCATGATGGACAAATCACTGAGATAATTTACAAGGGAACACACGATCATCCTAAACCTCAACCTAACCGCCGATACTCTGCTGGAACTATTATGTCTATGCAAGAAGAGAGATCTGATAAGGCTTCTTTGACTAGCCGAGATGGTAATACCAGTGAGATACTTCTTGTCGATTTCATTTTATTCTTACTTAATGCTAACCAAGTAACGTGGCTTTTTTCTTCTTCTAATTCTTGAATTGTAGACAAAGGATCCAATATATTTGGCCAGATATCTCACACAGCTGAGCCTGACAGAACTCTAGAGCTATCACCTGTAGCAACAAATGATGATAATCTAGAGGGTACAGGGTTTTTGTCAAGCCGGAATAATGATGAGATTGATGATGATGATCCCTTCTCAAAACGAAGGTTTGACAATTTTGGCCAAAGCACTAGGTTTCTTTCTGCTGCTTGTGTTTACTTGCTGATGATCACAAGTTTTAATTGAGCAGAAAAATGGATCTTGGAAATGCTGACATCATTCCTGTAGTTAAACCTATCCGGGAGCCACGTGTTGTTGTACAAACTCTGAGTGAGGTTGATATATTAGATGATGGTTACCGCTGGCGAAAGTATGGGCAGAAGGTTGTGAGAGGCAATCCTAACCCTAGGTATGTCCTCTCATTGGTGACTATACAACACAAGAAATCGATGAAATCCAATTTAAATTTGAAAAAATATCCTTTATCAAAGGAATTTTGGCATGTAAATTATTAAACTATTTCAGCCTTTACCTTGCTGAAAAGAAGGCTGAGACAAGCTAAGATTCACTCACTGGAGCAGTGGGTTGTAATGTATTCTACAAAGGAAAGAGAGTAATTGCTAAGCTATAACATATTCTGACATGATGTATATTCTAAATCTTAAGTTCATACAAGGATTTATTCTAACGCAATTCTAATATTTCATTCAGGTGATTCTGTGGTTCTCTTTCTGATTCGACAAATATGAAATGATTGCAAAGTTACATGAGTTAGTAGGAGATTGATGTCTGGATATTGATGTTATATATGTTAAATAAAATTCGTTATGATGAGTTAAAGGGGAACTGTAATGATCAAATATGTTATATATAAAGAAGCATGTTGATCGTAAGAGCATTATTGCTAAGAATGTGCCAAGAAATGTTAATGGAGAGGTTCAAGTGACAGTACTCTGTTAGATACTTAGATTTCACGAAAATGTGGAGGAATATGTGTTTCTCCTGCAGTCCTAGAGGAAAATATGTCAATGTAAGGATGATTATGGTTTTATAGTCATAGTGACTTTATAAGGCTTTGGACGGGTAGAGGGAGGAGACCTAAAGTTGTGTTTGAATAGAGTAAAATTGGTTTTAGACTGCCCCAGAATTTTAACTAGATTGTTTTTATGCTAAATAGAAGGAATTTCAAATAACATGTTTTCATAGAAAATTTAAAAATGTTTCTATTATGTTTAACTTTTTGTAATTATTATACTTGACTCTTACTTTAATTATCCTTCATAGTTGATTTTGTATTCTTCAGAATTCTAAATTCTTCTTCTAAATACAACTCAAAAGAACTTTGGAGGAATTTATTAAATGGTATCTCATGGTAAATATAATATCAAGAGAATTTCATTTTCTACCTAGCTCAGTGACATCATCTGATTCATGTGGCTTTAAGTTTTTATTATTATTGTAGTGAGTTATACAGAAATTTAGGGAAAAAGAAGTGCAGTATGATATTCACTGATTTGCATAATTGAAGGCTTCATACTAATTAATGATTATCAACATTTATTGATTTATCTGTGTTAGGTTTTTCTTGCATTATATGCCATCAAGTTAGCCAAATATTGTATTTCTTTTCTAGTTGATATTGGAATTGAAATATTAGCTGTAATTTTGTCGTTGTCTGAAAACCTGCATTCCTCATAAAGATGTGCTCGCTTTGCTCTTTGAGGATTTCCCTTCAATATTTACTTCCTTGAACGTGAAATATGCTTGAATGTATATCTTGGAAATACTTTGTGTTGTTTCCTATGCCCCAAAACAATTCAAATAATATGCAAGTATAAGTCTAGTTCAATCTTATTCCATTTGTTTAAACTTAAAAGAAAGTGATTTTATCATACAACCTTTTTATAGGGTTTCTGATTTGAATTGTTTTTGAAAAAAATACTTTTCTATTTGAGGTTTCTGATTTATGGTTTTTGAGAAAATGTAAGTGTTATACATTTAAAACATCTTTTAATTTGAAGAGTGCTTGTTCTTCAAAAAACAAAGAAACAAACCAGCACTAAATAGCCTGAGAAATTTCTACTTTTCCTGAAATTTCTTGTCATAACTACCAAGTCAACTAAATCTTAAGAGAGGAGGACTAATATTGAATTTTACTCATGCACTCCAAGCTTTCCCAGGTTAACATTTCTGAGAACACAAGTTGTGATGATCTCTTTCAAAACGTCTGGACTTCCAGTTCTTTTTTTTAATAAGTATTGGTGTGGTTGACCCCAATTTTATAATTAAGGCCTGTTAATGTATTTTTCTGAACATGTCAGGCACTTGGGAGGAAATACCTATAAATCGAGCTATATTTAACTCCTGTGCCTGCCAGTTTTGGTGCAATAGTTATCCTAGGAATCATCCGTTAAATCACAGATGTTATGCTGGATACAAGTGATACCCCTTTCATGCATCTCTAAGTCTCAAACCTTTCAGTTTTAGGGAAATCTAGAATCTAAAAATGTTGCTTGCAGTGTAATAATGTAATTGTATTTTGGTGCTTTTGCAAAACCTTTAAACCATGAAATGAGTCAAATATGTGTACATAGATCTTGATGAGCTTGGCTGGTATTTAGTATGACCCTTCTGTATCTGACAGCAGTGTGCTGCTTAGTTTCATACTTTCAGGTAACCTTGTTTCTTACAATACTCCTTATTTTTCAGGAGTTATTACAAATGCACTAACACTGGTTGCCCAGTTCGAAAGCATGTGGAGAGGGCATCTCATGATCCAAAAGCTGTGATAACCACATACGAGGGTAAACACAATCATGATGTACCAACTGCAAGGAATAGCTGTCATGACATGGCAGGACCAGCAACTGCAGGTGGACAGACAAGAATTAGGCCAGATGAGAGTGATACCATTAGCCTTGACCTCGGGATGGGCATTAGCCCAGCTGCTGAAAACACGTCAAACAGTCAAGGTAGAATGATGCTTTCTGAATTTGGAGACAGTCAAACTCGCACCATCAATTCCAATTTTAAGTTTGTTCATTCTACTACGGCTCCAGCATACTTTGGTGTTATAAGTAACAACTCGTATGGTTCTAGAGAAAATCCCACTGATAGTCCATCTTTAAACCATTCTGCTTATCCTTGCCCTCAGAACATGGGAAGAATACTAATGGGTCCTTAAAATTGGTTGCACAACAACAAAAAAAAAGAATAATGAAATTCTGAGTTCCATTTTTCTTCTTTTTTGGCGGGTAAAGCTTTAAAGGCAGGGCTCCTCATTTTCTCTTTGGAAATGCTGATAGTTCTTTTATGTTATTATCATTATATGGGAGCTGCTCTTTATTAGGATTATTAGTAGCTGTGCCCCTTCAGGTTGACTTTTAAATCTAGTTGCTGTTTGTATAATTATATACAGATTCTTCTGTACAAATATGAAGCTTATACAAAGTTGCTTCAACAAAAATCCTTGTAAAAGTGTTTGAATTGAATTCAACTATTTATAAGTAGCTTCTGGCATGTTCCTGAACCCCTGTAAATTCAGTTGATAGCCATAGTTTCTCAGCCTTGGTCATAAGGCAGACATACCCAGAATGTCAAAACAAATTATGTAATTTTATGTAGCGAAATTCAATGGAATTCTGAATTTGTAGTTTTGTACACGGTTGGTTTTCTAGTATTATTTTGTGCATACTAAGTAGTGTGAAAAAAAGAAAAAATACATTGAAAAAATCTCTGTATATTGAATAAAACTTGAATCTGCAGGTGCTAGAACAGGGGTATGAAAGGGAATGGCACAGGTCGTGGAAAGGCCACCGTTAAAATATCTGATATTGGTTAAATATATGGTTAACATATTCTTTATAATAATCTTTTTCTTATTTTTAATATGGTATTAGAGCTTTTTCGGTTTGAATATTATGTTATTCACGAATGTTTAGTTTTGCAAATTTTACTTATTAGATGATCAGTTCTAGGCGTGTAGAGAATATGTTAAAATATCCTATATCTGTTTAAAAGTATGGCTAAAATATTTTTTATTCTATTTCTGTGAATTAGTTCTTGAAAGTGAGTTAACTTCTGTTTTTTATTTTATCATTGTAATTTTTCTTTTCTTCCTTTAAAGTACACGGGTGTGACAGAGAAGGGGAAGGGAGAGAGCTTGTCTATTTGAATTATTTCATGTGCTTGAAATTTCTGTAAATGTAAAATAAGTAATACTTAGTGGGATGACTCTTAAGGTAAAAAATATCACAACATTGTTTCGGTCTCATTGATATATGTGGAGCTACTCTTCAGACCAATGGTGCAGACAGGAAGAGTTGGTATCTTGTGCCTAAGATACAGCTTTAGAAAAAAAAAATATAGTAAATATAAATAATTTTATAACTCTTCTAGCTCATATTGCTGTTGTAAATGGTATGTAATGTTGCAAATAAATTTCAATCAACTGAAGACAGTAACACTTGAAAAAGGCAATCTTGTTCTGGTGTCTAAATCAAATAGTCAAAAGTACACACTTGCCTCAGACACAAGTCTCTGCCCTTTTGTTCTTTTGTCACCAAGAAATCCTTGCACTCTTGGGGACAACTAATTTGACCATAAGCCATTCCGTTGTGCTCTTTTATGTCAATAGACAACGCGCTATGTTTCCTATGCACCAGAAATATTCGGCAAAGAAATTTCTAGGCCGAACGCAGTGGCATGGATTCACGGTAAATTGTTTGCTTTTATTTTCACTAACCCAACATACATTTTAGAGTTCAAAACTTTGAATATATTTGATAAGAACTTTGTATTTTATGCTATTTTATTTTATTCGAGTCAAATAAGATTGCTACGAGAGTAACCCTCTTTATTAAGTTTTAATTACATGGTGAAAACTCAAACTTGAAACTAGTAATTGAAGTATAATAATATGCTAAATTGATCATGATAAAGCCTCTATTTTGCGCCTCCACCTACCACTTTTCTCTCTAACGATAAGATATCACCCTCTCCTCTCTCCTATGCTTTTATACATGTGATATCCCTCTTTTCTAATTACCCGAGACTAACAAACTAATTAATAATAACTAATTACCAAATAGTTCAATTCATTTTTAATTACCTCAGCTTTTTAAGATATATTGTGAATTGTGAAACACGAGATTATGGGAGTTAATTCAACCAGAAACTCCAGGTCAGGTAACAGGATATTAAGAAGTAAAAGTTTTATCCTTGTCTTCATTATCCATGTAGCTAACTAGTTCCTTGTGATTGCCAAACTTTGAGACAGTTTAGTATTGGAGATCCAACCATCAAAATGGCTCTATGGCAAGAAAATGAGTGATTCTGCCAATGGAAGTCAGTGAAGAAAGTTTGAGTTATGACTCCTGTGGAGATCCATCTCTGATCGTCAAATAGTTCAATTCATTTTCAACATAGAATATACCCCCAGTCAATTGAATTCAAGACACAAGAAGTGTAGTGTATAAATGAACTCTAGAGGAGTAAAAGATATAAGGAGCTGTTTGGTGTTTATAAATTATTTTCTGTTCTTATTTCCTGTGTCTACTTTTAATTATAAAAATTGTCACCTTATTTTTATTTTGTTTCTTATTTATAAATATTTGCACATGAAACATTGAAAACAAAAAATAAAAATAAAAATTCAGTACTTCCTGTACAAATTTTAAAACCAGAAAATAGAATGAAAATAAAATGGAAATTTTGTGATTAAAAAAAAAAAACATTTTTGGAAACCAAACCGCCCCTAAGGAGCTCAGAGTGCTGATAGATAATTGTCAGAGCTGAAATGGTAATGGTGAACATGAAGGCTCTGACCTAACACAGTTTAAGATATATGAAATTTAGCCTAGCACATAAGAATGCAGTACATACCAATTCCATACTTCATTGTGTTATGATAAATTTCAGCTTCAATGTTTTGCAGTTATAAATTGACATTAATCTTTTTATCCTTGGAAAGCATTACATGTTCTAAAATACATCCGATATGTAATGTCAGAATATAGTGTTTCTTGCTGTTACTTGTATTGCTGACATAAAGTTGAAGGAAACTCTAACAACACAGTAATTGGACTATCAAAAGAGGAGAAATTCTATGAAGACAAGGATGGTAGATACACAACCTAACTAAAGGTCTGCAGTAACAAAACTGAAATGTTATTGGGTTTTCATCTCCAAGCACAAGAGGCAATAAGAACTTTATCCATCCAACCAAGATATAGTGCACCATCTCTCTCTTCTAGAGTGTAGTGTCCACGGTAGTTCTCCAGAAGCTCCTTGATTGATGAATTAATAAAGGAGCTCAAAGGGTAAGGTGTAAAACCGGCCATTGTGAAACGCATTCTCCACTTATTCAGAAGCTCATGTCTTTCAACTCTTTCTGCCCCTTCACATGCTATTAAGTTAACAACTTCTCTAGCCAAACAATGCTGCTCCACATTGATCCTCTCTTTGTGCTCCCTTGGCAGCACAATATCAATTGATTCAAAAACAGCCAAGTAGTAGTTCATTGTCTCAATGAAACGTTGCAAGAATGGAGCGTTGTTGGTGTTAAATTCTTGCTCAACCAGAGTCACTACCTTAGGAGACAAGTACTTTGCCAATCTCAACAGCCGATCACGATGATTGTGACTGTTCACGCTTTCATCTGGTACATGGTGCAGCATAATGGCAAAATTCACTGCCACGGCTTCATAAGGGCGAAGTTCAAGGTCTTCAAGTTGCACCTGAGAAGCAGGTACCCTTACAGCATTGAACTCAAAGGGCACATGACATGACTGTGCAAGTGTTGATAACCTTTTACCAACAATATCAAGTCCCCCTCCACGGGCATAAGCTGAAACATTGTCATCAACACCTGTTATTCTGATCTTTGGAGGCCCTCCAGGACGGCGAGCAAGAGCCTGGATCAGACTCACCCATTGTGTTCCCTGGCTAATCTGAAAGTCAACAATGTGGACTTCACTTTCCTCCTTCATAGCTTCAGCAATTGCTCCATTTGCTGACATGTATCCAAACTTGAAGTAAGGGCATATTTCATAAAGTACATGCATGTATGAAAGTAGTTCATTGCCAGTAGGCTCACTACATTTCAAGGACTTGTAGATTGTGCTTCCTGAAGAGGCCATCCTTGCAACAAGAGCCTCCAATATGTATGCTCCCAATCGTTGCATTGGATTGCCTGAAATGGACACCATCTTTCGCAACTCTGACATCAGCCCTTCAGTTGTCTCCATATCATTTGCCGCCATTGCTTTTGCACAAGTATAAAGCATTTCTTTCAAGTCCCCCCTAGATATCACCTCCATCATTTTCTTCCACTTCTCTGCCTCCAACAAAAATGGATCAGATTCCCCTGGCATTACAGTCTCATCATAGGTCCCTAGCATATCTGCATTAGTTCCTAGCATAGCAGTTTCCAGCTCTCTTATCTTATGCCTCAGGTCATCAAGGTCATGTGTCAAGTAAGAATCATCCTCAGGTGAATCATTAACAATCTCAAGAGAATGCTGTGGCCTTGACACATAGGATTTTGAATCTAGCTTTGACACTGGACTATTGTTAGGTGAGAAACTGACAGCAGATGGAGAATTTTGGTAAGGGAAACTGTTGCTTGTTGAAGCAGATTCAATGGTGCAATATTGTTCTAAAGTCTGAACTGAAGGGTAGGTTGTTTGGCTGCTGTTATCGGAGGAAGAGTAATTGTCTAGGTTCTCACTTGATGGTAAGCAATATGACCCGAGGTTTTGATCTGGCTCAACGTAGAACCCCCCAGAGCCATAAGAAATTTCATGTTTCTGAGATGTTTGCATTGATAACTAACGAGTTCTTTGATACACTCAAGCAGTACTAACTGACTTTCTGACACAAACAGTCCTGAATAATTACTTTGACTCTTTAAGCACAGTGATCATTATCCACACTTTAATTCAATTTCAGCTTGGGAATAGCAGTGTACTGAATATCCGAGTTATTCTGCAGAAGGGTAAGAAAACAATGTAGACAAATAAGATAGTTAACAAGGATAACTGAAGTCATAAAAAATGAAAACAAAGACGTGTAGTTTATTGATACTGATTGAAGAAGGTAGTGTTGTTTGTTGTTGCCTAAATTTGTTATTCCTTGAGGTTATTGGGCACATTAATAGCATAAAGATCAGTACTAGCAAGATTGAAATGAACTTTTTATTAAAGGATTTTTTGCATTTCAAATCCAGAAGAGTAAGATTCTTGACAACACAATCTGTTTTTCCCTGATTTATAACGTGCTATTAAAACAAACAGCACACCAAAGCAGATACTGTAATTTTCAGCATCCAAATGTGAAAAATATAATAGTTCTCAACCTTCATACTCAAATGGAATTTTAGCAGTCTATTTGAATTGTCAGCAGGCCCTTTGATTGCTCAAGACAATCACCAGTCAATCTCTGCTTCTGTGCTTTCAAATTTTTGCAGTCAAAATATTAAAAATAATTAAAAAAAAAAAAAACAACTGTAGGCAACATAATGGATTTGGAACACCTACTTCCACCTATAGCAAGACCCATGTCTCTTTCCTCTTTATTCATCCTTAATGAAAACAGGTATTATAGAAAAGGCCCCCACATGCTTTGCATCGTTTTTAATTACTTATAGGGATGCCCAAAAGCTTAACTATACTGTAAAACACCAAACGCGCCATCAAGAAAATCCTTTAGTGTTCTTCCTTCAACTCAGTTCTGGGAACATACTCTAAACCATGAACTCAATCAACAGAAAAAGATGAAACTTTTTTATGAAACCCTTTCTAAACCTTAAACATGTTAGGAACCATTATTGAAATAGTATGCATGCAAATCCCCTAACAAAACACACTGAAAAACCGAGATTACAAACTTTCCCCCAAAAACAATTGAAAAGCAAAGCCAGAAAAAAAAAAACCAAAAATATCAATTTCAACAACCCTTTTTCATTAACTCAATCAAAGCAATCATAAAGGAAAAAAGAATTTTTTTTTTCCCTTATCAGAATTGAAAAAACATGCAGCATCTTCATCAACTTAGCAAGCACAAACACTTTCATGATATCAATCATAAAAAGCAAGGGCAGTTCAACAATTACAAAAACTCTCTCACCTTAACAAAAGGCCTGATCTGAAACTAGATTACTAGGATCAAGTGATGACCCAGAATGAGAATTTATCATGCACATACATATACTCTTGTAATAAAGAGGTTTTCTTTGGAGTTTGAGGTTATTATATCTTGGAACACATGGCAAGTCACAAAGGTTGTTGGGAGCTTTGGTCCCTCATGAAAATCTGAATTGCAATTTGGTTATTTTATATGGACGCCAACGAAGAAAGTCTCCTTTTGTGTCAAATTACCTTTTTGACATTGCAATTAATTTATATAGACTTTTTTATATTCACTGTCACATTATCAGTGTTCTGTTTGGAATTAAGTCTTATTAATTTTTTTCTTTTATGTATGTGTTTTTATTCACATCAATTATTTTGAAATATCTTAGGATTTTTAATACTATATTGTTTGATCAACATTTTCAAACGGTTTTTAACGAGGATGATGATCGTTACATTGATTTTTTAATTAATGAAAGTTATTCTATCTTTTAAGATAAGATAGAGACATGCGTAGATTTATTTTTTTCCCTTTCTAAAATTGTAATATATTTCGGCGTCATTGGAGTTTGATCAATTCTTATTATTCTTCTTTCGACAGAAAACTAATTCCTTATTAAAATCAGCAAGAGTTATCACACCAAGTCTAAATACTTGTTAAGTGATCATTTTAATCTTAGTTTAAATATTTAAAAGTAATAAATTTTCAGTAAAAAATATATTTTTATATTAAAATTATAAAAATTTGATAAATTATTATTATTTATTGTTTAAATTTAATCTTAAAATTTTAGATGAGTTTTTTTTTTTCAATTTTTACTTTCTTTTTCTGAAAAAAGCGAACTATACTATTTAGCTCGTTAGATTATGATTTTTAATATATCACTTTTATTGATTTATCATTTTTAAAGGCTTTATTAATTTATATTTACTTAGATGTCTTCCATATAATAAAATCAATTTTAATTAAAAAATTATATAAAGGTAATATAACAAAATAACAAATTTCATTCCAAATGTATAATAATGAGAAAGTGGTTTTCATTTAAGTAGCCAGAAAATTCGAGAAACCAAGTCAATGTGTTCCAGCTTACAAGAGATCACAGTGCTCAATGCTTAAACCTTACTCAATATTTTATCACATAAAATAAAAATGTAACTAAAATATAAAGAAAATGTAAAATGGTACATTTTTTGTATTAACTTATTATAAAGTTTCATTTATACAAATCAGTCCTTTGTTTATAAGTCGATAATTAGGAAGATTAATATGTTAATAAAGTAACATTTTCGAAAACAAATTGGTATAAACAAATGTTTTTAAGCATTAAAAGAATATAAATTATCAGTTGTAGAAACTTAATTATCTGTTAACTATTATTATATTTTTTATGCAATAATAGTAAAAATTTAAGGGGTGAGTTTTTTTACTATAAATTAGTTGAGTTGATTAAATTGTTGATAATTAATATAACAGAAGGGGGAGTAAGTAAAGTGGGATTGGGCATAGTTTGAGTGACAATGACATGTCATGGAATTGAATGGTAAACATCATAATGATGCATGCGATGGCGCAATCCATGGAATTGGCCCCACACGGTTTCCATCTCCTTCACTCGTTTTATCAAACTCATACACCATAATCTCTTCCATTGCTAATTTTTTCTACTAAAATTTAAACTTGCCTAAAAATATTTTTTTTATTTTTATTGAAAAATTAATTATTTATTATTTTGAGAATATAAAAATATAAGAATTATTAAATTCATTCTTATAAATGAATTAATTCTCAAATCAGTACTTATTGTTTGTAATTATTACAAGGATATGATGTGTTAGTTTTACATACATAACCAAAAACTTGAATTGATAATTGTTTGTTTAGTTAAATTATAATTTTGATTTATTTACATAGTGCTTATTTTCTTTTTTGGTCATTATACAGTGTTTTTTCCTGACCAATCACAAACCAAAAACAATTGGTATGTGGCTAAAATTACAGGAGGAAGCAAAATTAAATAGACCAAGAGAACTTGTGCTTATCCCATTACACTATTTGTTGAATTTCAAAGGTGTTTTAGGCAAGCCAAATTTATAGGATTGCTCAAGAATTACGATTATAAGGGAAGAAATTTTAGATTTTTTTAAAGATAAAAATTATAAAATATCTCAAAATTTAAAAGGTTTAAAATTAATTTTCGCTCACTATTTATGACTATTTCAAATAAATTTGTACACACTATGCTTCAAATATAATTTTTGGCTCTTGATTGCAAGAGTTTGTAGTTTGCAGTTAAGAGAATTAAGATTGGTAATGGTTGCAAAATATTAATTTTGACCCAAGGATTATTGCAGTTAAGAGAAGCTTGCCAAGTTGATAAAGGGAGAGGAAAGTTTCAAACTAGATAGGATTTCTTATATGGACCATACTTCATATATTTGAGTGACTGATCATTATGTTATCTAAAGATTAATTCTCTAACACTTTAGAGTTTTATGATTATATATATTAGGTGATTTTGATCAGAGATTTTTGTTATACAAGAGAGAATCAAATGCATATTGTTAACAAATATGTCTATAGAGTACCTTTTGAACCATTGTATTAGATTGTATAAAACAATGTTACAAGTTCTTTTGGTTTGCATTTAAACTTGCATTCTTCTAAACCTACAACCATATATTAATTTTTTTTATAGATATCAAATTAAAAATTAATGTTGTATATGCTATGCCAAATTGAAAAAAAATGTCATATGCACATATCAAAATTATAATTCGAGCATACAAGTCACTGTTGCATATTTTTCATTATATATAGGACGAATTTGATTTATTGAAAAGAAAGTGACTGGAAAAATATAAAAATTCTTGTCCAACGTTTAATTTTAAAAGTAGCTATAGGAGATAGGACCGATCAAAGGATGACTGTGTAATTTGTTATTTATTAAATCATGGGACAATATTTGTTTTACAAAATCATTTAAAAAAATATTTCTTTCTTTTTAATACAACCCTCTATTAGTTTGAAAAAAAATGGGTCCAAACCAACTAAGTTAAACATGGTTTAGGTTGAATTCGTAAGTTTTTTTTTTTTTTTTGTTGCAATTTAAACCAAAACAACTCAAAATTTAAGTTAATTTAAACCCAATCAAAGTAAATTTTTATATTTTAATAATTTTCCATTTAAAATATACAAAATCAAACAATTTTTTTTAAATGGCAGAAATATTGTCTAAACAAGTAGTAAAGCATAAATTGAGTGATGTTGATGAGTTTCAAAATTTATCAAGCCTAAATTTGACTCCTCATAATTTTGTCATTTTCATACTAAACCAAAATTTCACTTTTGAGTCAGGTTAGGTTGATAATTTTAATTGAAATTATAAACGCCTATATATATATATATATAAAGAAAAAAATTGTGTTGTATGAAAGAAAACACAGTATTATACTACTGACTACTATATAAGTCAAAAGATATCAATGTAAGAACAAAAAGAAAGAAATATCGACTTTTCTATTATTAAAGTTTGGGAGATTTGAGTATTGTGAGTCCTCAAAATTATTATTAATAAGGAAGACACTCGTAGAATGATAGAGCCAATAGACACATCATAAATGCATAAGACGAAACATAATACTAAAAACATTTTTAAAAAATTAGTTAATCATTTTATTACGATGTATTTTTTCTTTCCTTCTTTTAATTATAATAACCATTTAATTTTCTCACTAATTAATTTTATTATTCTATTAATAATTAAAATAGATATTATTTCATATATATTGTAAACGTTAGAATAGACCAAAATGCTGATTATCGTTAATGTTAATGGCCAATTATATGCACATGTTGCTTATGGAACATTACGAATAATTTCAAATGTTTTAGTACGAATAAGATTTTTAAAATTAAGATTAATAAAATATAATTTAACGTCCATAATATTTATTAATAAAAATTAACAAATTAATTTAATTTTCAATTTAAAAAAATTAAATAAATTAACTTTAACAATTCAATAAAAAATATATATCTTAAAAATCTAAAAACTTAAAATAAACTTACAATAATTTTAACAAATTTAAAAAAATTTCATTAAAATTCACTTGAAGTGAAGATATATAAGTTTAATAATGATAATAATAAATAAATAAAAGACATAACTCCAAGTCTCTAACAACCATATAACATTATATAACGTGGCATTTTTTTGGTCTCAACTAGTTTTTCAGCAATTAGACCTACATACATTATCGTGTATTGTATTTATTGGCCAACTATGAAAAGAAGCTTATCATAATTTTGCACTCTTTTCTCTCCCGTCACTATTTGCATACACTGAAATTATGTGACCCACAATCTCCAATGCTTCTAATGGCACACCTTAATTTATGAATTGACGTTCTAAACCATTCCTCAAGTGTTCTACCTAATTGATTGAAATGGCTAAACTTTTTATTTCTTTATTTCGCTTCATTTAGACTAAACTAGTAAAGCTTCCTTTTAGGTGAGCTCCTGTTCTAGAAAAGAGAAAAAGAATGTTTAGTTAATTAGGGACAATGTTAATTGTTTATTATTTCATGAAATCAGTACGTAACAATCTGCAACTTAGTTAGGCCAGTTTGATTTGATGCACAAAACTTACACCATCTACCCATTAATTAATGGAATTTTAGCATGCACTTCTAATTATTATTGTATCGGTAATAATATCATTAATTTATATTATTTAATTAACATTCATAAATAAGGTATGTTCTAATTAGTAATGTATAATATATTTTTTTACTATGACAACGAAAATAATGAAGTTTATTAAAATCGGTAAATGACATGACAACATATTATTATATATATAAAAAAATTATTTTACTCTTGTGGTGCACATTTTGTTTTTCTTCTTTTGGTTTAAATTTGCTTACCATACTTTGAAGTACAGGACACGGCCAAATATGAGCATTTTCCTAGATGATCATAATGGAAAGACATTTTTTCAATTGTTTTTATGTATGACTTTATTTGATTAATTAATGCTTGTGGAAATAACTCATAAAATTCAAAGTTGTCTTTTATTCAAGGGTAAAAGTCCAAGGTATGCATTGTCAAGGAAAGGAGGTGGTGGGTCTTTTCTTCATGCTACAAAGTAA